GTAGGTGGATGGATTTACATCTGGGTTCTCAGTTCTGTTCCATTGATCAATGTATCTGTTGTTGTACCAGTACCAGGCTGTTTTGAGTACCGTAGCTGTATAGTAGGTTCTGAGGTCAGGTAGTGTCAGCCCTCCAACTTTATTCTTCTTCTTCAATAGTGCTTTATTTATTTGAGGCTTCTTCCCTTTCCATATAAAGTTAATGATTAGTTTTTCCATCTCTTTGAAGAATGTTGTTCGTATTTGGATCGGGATTGCATTGTATTTGTAAATTTCTTTGGGAAGAATTGTCAATTTTTATTTATTGATATCACCTTAACTTCCTCTCCATATGGAAGTTCTATGACTGCACTGTTTGTTCCCTCTTTTTTGTTTTGACATTGTCATCCTTTACATATTGATGTCTCTGGTTCCCTGTTTTCAGTCTTTTAGGTTTGATTTGTTTTTGTGAATTCCCTAGCTAGGTTGATAACTGGTTGATCTGTCCTGTGTCCTAATCTTGGATTGTTGTCTGATATTTTGGTTCTCTAACCAGAAGACTCCCTTAAAAATCTCTTGTAATTTTGGTTTGGTTTTTACAAATTCCTTTAACTTCTGTTTATCTGGAAATAACCTAATTTAGCCATGGCATTTGACAGACAGTTTTGCTATATATATAATTCTTGACCGGCAATTTGTTTTTTCCTTCAAGGATTTATATATGTCATCCCATTACCTTCTTGCCTGAATGTTTCTGCTGAGTAGTCAGAGCTTGAAACCACCAGGCAGTCCTTGGAAAATCTATGGGACCGTTCTCCTCCGTTCTATATAGTCACTATGAGTTGGAATCAATTCGATGGCAATGAGTTTTTTCGTTTATACAGAGCTTAGTCTTTTTGGTTCTTCTTTGTAGGTGAGTTTTCATTTAGCCCTAGCTGCTCTCAAGATTCTATGTTTGTCTTTTGTTTTGGCACATTTGATTATGATAAGTCTTGATGACTTTCTTTTGGGGTATACCCTGTATGGGTTTTGTGGAGCTTCTTGGATAGATATCTTCTCATCTTTCACAATATCAGGGAAGTTTTCTGCCATCAAATCTTCAACAATTCTCTGTGTTTTCTGTTATCCCTCTCCCCCCATTCTGGTACTCTGATCACTCATAGATTTTTCCTCCTGATAGTGTCCCACATAATTCATAGGCTTTCTTCATTTTTTTTAATTCTTTTTTTCTGATTTTTCATCAGACAAATAGGTGTCAAGGGATTTATCTTCAATCTCACTAATTCTTACTTCCGTTGTCTCAATTCTGCTCCTGTGACCTTCTATTGAGTCGTCTAATTCTGAAATTTTATTGTTAATCTTTGGATTTCTAGTTGCTGTCTCTCTGTGGTTTCTAGCAGCCTGTTAAATTTGTTTTTCTGTTCTTGTATTGTTTTCTTGAATTCCTCCATTGCTTTATCTGTGTGTTCCTTGGCTTGATCTGGGTTTTGCATGATCGCCTTCCTGATATCTTGGAGAGCTCTGTTTATTAGTTTTTTGAATTCTTTCACAGGTAGTTCCATTGCCTTATTTTCCTCTGGAAGTTTTCCTGGTTCTTCATTTTAGTCACTTGCTGGAGCCATCTTATGTGATTTGATATTGATTGTTTCCAAGGCAGCAATAAGATATTATATTTATTTAGTTATTTATTGTATGTTTGTTTAAGATCTTGACTTTTTTTTTAATACTCCCAAGTAGGCTGGGCATGTGAGCTGCTTTGGTTGTTGGCATCTTTGGAGTTCTCACATCCTGTCTTCAGATGGTCAGAGCAGCTACTAGCTGTGTGAACAGGAGTCTATTCACTTTTCTTGTGGGGGTGCAACACAAGTGTCCACATTGTCGATCACCAAGTGTGTGGTGCAGACTCTTACCTACAGTCCTAGGTGGGCAGGGCTGTGTAGGGGTGTTCAGAGCAGGCACAAATTTCTGACTGCTGTAGGGACCTATATGTGGAGCAAGGTGTGGAGCTGATGGCTGCCCCTGGGTGCCTGGGTGGAGGGTGTGTCCCTGTCCCCTAGAGCGTGTAGTATGTGGACTATTGCGGCTGGTTCTTGGGCACCCAGTGCTGTTGGCTGGAGCGACTGGGAGGCACCACTAATTCTCAGACCCCTGCCATGTGTGGATACGTGGAGTGGGTGGTACTGCCAGCCCTCAGGCCTCCATTGTGGGTGGGCGAGGCCCCTGGTTATGGACAGGGCAACGTCAAATGTCATGAATCTGCAGCTCCCCCTTGACTGCTGCAGTTGAAAACGAACTTCAGGAGTATGCCTTGCTGTTTTATGCTAATGAGGGCGTGTGGTGTTACTATGTTCTCCATCATCTTGAAGAAGCTGGCTTGATAGAATGATGGAAAGGCCTTCTAAAGACACAATTATGGTGCCAGCTAGGTGGTCATACTTGCAGGGCTGGTGCATTGTTCTCCAGGAGGCTGCATGTGCTCTAAACCAGCTCCCAATATATGATGCTGTTTCTCCCATAGCCAGGATTCATGGGTCCAGGAATCAAGGGGTGGAAATAGGAGTGGTAGCACTCACTATTACCCATAGTGACCCATTTGAAAAATGTTTGCTTCTTGTCCCCACAACCCTAAGCTCTGCAGGTCTAGAGGTCTTAGTTCCAAAGGGAGGAATGCTCTGCCTGGAGACACATCACTGATTCCATTGAACTGGAAGTTAAGAATGCCACCTGGCTGCTTTAGGTTTCTTATGCCTCTGAATCAACGGGCAAAGAAGAGATTTACCATATTGGCTAGTGTGATTGATCCTGATTATCAAGAGGAAATTGTATTGATATTACATAATTGAGGTGAGGAAGACTATGTCTGGAATGCGGGAGATCCCTTATGTTATCTCTTAGTACTACTATGCCCTGTGATTAAAGTCAATGGAAAACTACAGCAAACCAATTCCGACATGACTACTAATGGCACAGAACCTTCAGGAATGAATATTTGGGTCACCCCACCAGGCAAAGAACCACAACTAGCTGAGGCGCTTGCTGAGGGTAAGGGGAATACAGAATGGGTGGCGGAAGAAGGTGATTTTAAATACTAACTTCGACCATGTGACCAGTTGAAGAAACGAAGACTGTAATTGTTATGAGTATTTCTTCCTTGCATGTGTGCATCAGATATTTTTGTTTTCTTCACTTATAAAATACAAGATGTAAACAGGGCTAGTGTGTTTTTGGTTGTATGCATGTTAGCTATATCATGTTAGGCTCAAGTGTGACTTTGTAATTGTCTTTACTTAGAGATTATGTACAGTTTAAGTTGATGTGTACAGGTGCCAAACTGACAAAGAGTGGACTGTGATGGTTAAGATTGTGTGTCAACTTGGCTGGTGATGATTCTCAGTGGGTTGGCAGTTATGATGTAGTTTAGCAGTTATGTAATGATGTAATCACCTCCAAGATGAGATCTGATATTATGTAATCACTTCCTTGATGAGATCTGCTATGAGTAGCCAGTCGGTTGAAGGGGAGTTTCCTGAGTGCAATAGATATGGACTTTCTGGCAAAGCTCGCTGGTTTTTGCTCTGCTCTGGTTCCTGCATTCACCTCATCATCATCTGACCTCCAGTTCTTGGGACTTGAGCCAGCAACCTGCTGTCTTGCCTGCCTGTCTTGGATTCGTCAGCCTCTGGAGTCTGTGAGCCAGTAGACTGTTGTCTGACCTGTTGATCTTGGGTCTGTCAGCCCTGCAGTTACATGAGTCAGTAGAAGCCTCCAGCCTGACACCTGACCCACAGACTTGGGACTTTCCAGCCTCTACAACTGTGTGAACCATTTCCTCTATATAAATTTACATATACACTTCT